CTCAGAGAACAGAAGCAGATGATGAGGATCGCATGAATGCTCCCAACCTGTGCAAAATAGTAGAATTTGTATACATTTGTACAATCAAAAGCCACTTTTATAGCAGACATCTGGATCCTATGAGACGGTAACAGGCTTTTATGAGACATTCAGTCTGCAGACTCTGGATGATCGAGCCCTTGAATTAGGACACTACATTCTAGTCCTGATTTTTTATTATTTCTATACATCATCTGGCCAGCTGTGACTTTCCAGCTGTCAGAAACGCTGATAGATTCTCGACTGGTTGCTTGTTGTCTTGGATTCTGCTGCAGACTGATTTATGAGTGGGACTATAGCCAAACCACATTTATATGTCATCTTAAGTGTGACATGAGAGGAGCATAATTGGAATTTGTTGCCTGCCATCTGATGCACAATACCCACTGACAGAATAGGAACTGGTAATTCTCCGTTTTTGGATGCACAGAGGACAAAAGTGACAGCGATATTCATGTACGGCTTTTGGCTCGTGCCGTAAATTGTTTGAATCCAAACCCATCCTAATGCTAAGATTTCCGCTAAGCATCAAACAGAATCTTAAAAATGTTTGTGAAAACGATCTCAAATGTCATTATTTACAGTCGGGCTGGTTGTATCTGAGTCGCTCAGCAACGGGGAAACAGGAAAAATATTCCAATTCAGATTTACTAAAAACTGTTAATTGTATTTGGTCATATTCATATGGCTCTTTGGGAATTTTTAAATGATTGTTTTGTTTGTAAGTGACAGTAAACTACATTCTTTGCAGCCTAATCTGATATAGTTCTGGTGTTATTAATGACAGAAACCAGCCAAATCTAACAGGATGGTACATAAATGCCACTGCAGGTGGAAAAGGCTTCTCTTGGTGCCAATCTGTCGGTGGTCAGACACAATCTTATTTTACGGTGACTCAAATCTGATTTGAGCCAGAGACAGACAATAGTGTGGCTTACAAAGAATGTAAACAGAGAGAGGGAAGCTTCAAATTGGACCCAGAGTCTCCTGGAGAATAATTAATGTGACATTTCCCTGACATTTAGTCAGAGGTATAGCGGAGGAGCCCGAAGAAGGGAGGAAGGAAGGAAAGAAGGAAGGAGAGATATAAGCCAGAGAGGGGAAAGAAAGACAGGAAGAGAAAACACCGACAGCAGCGCCGGCTTTTTCCCTCAAACGTCTTGACAAACACTGCAGCTACTACTCACCTTCTTGCTTTGTACACACATTAAAATACAGTAACTAAGCGGGAGTGCATTCACCGACACACACACACACACACAGCATCACAAATAGACCTACTCTAATGTTCAATACCCACTCCTTCAATGACGGTGAAATTGTACTTTTGTTGCTTGGTAACCGTTTGTTTTGTGCTTATCTCCACCATTCACCACCTGTTTATGGGCTGTTACGCATACATTCCCATCTCCGACCCAGGACAGGAAAGAAAAGGCTGACGAGCGAACACTGGGACCGTCTGTGGTCGATGTCGGACCGCTCGACAAGCCCGCAGTTTGTTCCAGCCTATTAAAAAAATACCTAAGACGATATATCAAGCCCCTATCAATGCTTTTAGTGGCTTGGTCTGCGGTTTCACATTGCCCTTTTAAGCTAATTAGGAATTGATAAACTCTTGCGACGTTGAGGTTGCTCTATTTTTTTTTTCTGGCGCGCCATCATCCTGCTGTAGTGTTATAATGATGCCAGACCGAGAGATGATGTGAATTAAAAGCACGGCTAAACGCTTTTAATGCGAGCGCACCGGTCATCAGCTGGTAGATATTGAGAGCCATAGAAACACTGTGCATAAGCAATCTGCCGCGTCATTATTCAAAGAGAAGGGGAGCGCCCGTCTTAGCTTAAGCACTTCAAAACAGTTTGCTCCTGATATTCTGACAAACTGCACATATAAGGGCGTGTTAATGGAGACAGCAACGTATAGTCGGCTCAGAGTGGTCATCTCTTCTTTGTAGGCTACAGCACTTTCTTAGCTCTAACACGATAAACATTGATTTTGCATCGCTTTGATTTCTATGAAGAAGAAGATGTCTCGCTGACAGACTCGCAGAGCTCATCCCAGTCTGTTTGTGGGTTAGAGCTGACAGTTCTCACAATTCCTCACTGCAACGCATTAGCAAGCGCAAATTGCTAATAGTGTCATAGTTTCATTTCCTATACAGGCGTAGCTGCGAGCCAGACGAGGAGCAGAACCTCGCCTTAAAACAGTGTTGCAAAGAGACGGCGTCCTCTTTGATCCAAGCACCAAGAGTGTGATCAAAGGTTGTTCGTGTTTAGCACTGCCGTGGTCTCCCAGGTTGCAGTTGCAGGTGTGGCTCTCTGAAAGGCCAAAACATGTCTTTTGCACAGTCTCAGGGTGAGGACAGCTGATAGAAGCTGGCAGATGTGGCCTTCAGATAAGGAAATAATGTGCAGCGGAGTGAGGCCTGTAATTATTCAACACATGGCTGTTACAAACAAAACGCAGGGCTGCGTGCTCAGTCGACCACATTGTGCATAATATTAACAAGCAACCACATGGGTTTTAATCCTAGCAGCTGTCGTACTGTCAAATTTCTTTTTGCTAGACTCTTTTGTAATGTAGTGCAGCTTGACATTACCTAAACTCCATCCTTACCTAGTTGTTGATTAACATGTGCTGACTCGTCCAAACTGTCTTCTATTGATCAAAAGCACCGATTTATCTCAGTGATTCAAACAAATCCAAATTGTTTCTGACCTCTTGTTAGATATAATTCAATATCCTGGGCTTCTGCAGAATATCTCAAATCCAGTTGACTCAGAATGATGCAGGGTGGGGTTGTCACAAACAAACAACAGAATGCAGAGAATAAGCAAAGAAACTACCTCCAGAACCAGATATGTGTGCATTTGCTTGGAAGTTTGTGCATGTGTGTTTTAGATATATTTTCCAATGCATCACAGGAGATGCTGATAATGGACCTTATGTGAGACCAGCGTTTTGACTGTTACTAAACTCATCTGACTGCTAAGGTTTTTCCAGGTCTTGAATAACAATAACTGCAGATAATAGCGCACACATCCCACACTAATAAATCACATCCGCAGGCTTTTATTTTTTCCTGTAATTTCTACCCTTTACTTTGTGTTCCAACCTTGAAACAAACAAAACAAGCAAGTAAACAGCAAAAGCAGCATGCAGAGATTCATCCATTTTGTGTTACCGTAAATTTCCTTTAAAAAGTGTCAGAGCGGATGTGAAAAGATCCCTCACGCATCGTCAGGTATCCCACATAACCGACATGTAAGGGTCGTTGCTCAGTGTACAGGCGTTTAATGGTAGGTCTCTCGGTAAAGATTACATACGGATATTGAGACGACTAAGCAGAGCTCGTTTCTCTGTGAGGCTATTTATGCTGTATTACATTCATGTCAGAGGTCAGAAATTTCCCAGTTGAACATTTCAAATTCTGAGCTCGAAGCATTACACGACTCACAACATCGAATGTAAACAAAACCTGCCTCCTTATGGCAGGCAGCATGTGAATGTGCGCTACGTCAGCTTAATTGGATACAACCTGGTCTGACTCACTGGATGTAGACTGTGCATGTAAGCCCACCACTGGCTGCATATTTCTTGTGGCCTTTTCCTTCCGTTCAATTATCTGCAGGTTTTAGAAATCACCAGCTACAGGAAGCAACAACAGCCTCCAAGCTAACAATGCTGAAAATGGCAGGCTTGGACAAAACTTTGGAGCGTGCAACGAGGCCCGCTTGGTTCTTTGGGTGAATAGTTGTAAAGATCTGTAAAGAATACGTTGACAGCATTCACTTTCTAGCTTGTATTGCACGTTTGACCACTGATTACGAAGAAAGTTTCCTTTTGCAAAGTATGTTCCATCAAAACATTGCTGCATCCTGGGCTCAGCACCACACAAGACAGTTGTGACTGGTTCAAAGAAAGACAAACAAGCCAAAGTTTGAATGATAATGGGCGCGGTCAGACCAGTCTCCTGTGCTGATCAAGCAGCCACCTCTGGGGATGAAAGATGACGCCAAGGTGGAAGTGTTAAAAAAAACTGCAGTTCCTTGAATGGCCACTTGAGGCTGGCTCCAAAAGCGAGTCAGTCCCCATAGAAAGCAATACTAAAAAAAATAACTCTACAGCAGAAATGATCGTGTTTACAGCCTGGTACAAGAAATGACTTTGGTCTCTATAGCTAATTTCTTAGTTTATAGCTACTGTATGGGTGGTGAATTTTTATATAACTCTCCAGTTTAATTTGTAGTAAGACTTAAAATGATGCTTTTATAGGACAGTTCAAGGCCCAGAGATGTTACATGGCCAACTGCACCGACACTCCACCTCTTTGCTCGTGCTTCCATTAGCCACTAGTTAGGAGGAGTTGGGCCCTGCCACCACCACTGTTCAGGAAGCCTATGAGTGATGTCATGGAGGGTTTGTCCATCTTTACATAAAGTCAACAACACCGACACAGTGCCGTAAAGACAGGTCTGGCTATGTAAGGTTAGATACAACTCAGTCAGAATATTAGATTAAAATAGCCTATTGAGTACCTTCAAAGTTACATATCTCTATGTAATTTATTAGGTCAAAAATGCTGGTTTACCATGTTAGCATGCTAGTATATGCTAAGTAGCATAGCACAGCTGAGCCCGATGAGGATATATCATTGATTTTGCAGGTATTCTGTTGATAATCTAAAGTGTTTAACATACTTAGATTTGATCTGTGAGTGGCACAAGAGGACATTTTAAGTATTGACGTGCTTACGGTTCATCATGAATGTAATCATCTGATCCTATGCAATCCATCTAATAGCAGCAGAGATACTGATAACATCCATTCATAGAGGAAAAGGTAATGTTTGTATATGTTTACATGTTTCCTTTGTGGGTCTGCTGGCCTGTTGTCACACCAGAGGACTGCTTCAATGAATCACACGCTCAACTCACACCCAACATCCCATGACAATTACCTTTGCTGCAACAGATGAGCTGGGCTTCTCCAGGAGGTCCCACAGTTTCTTCCGCTTTTCAGCACAGCAAGTGTTGTCAAACTCTTCTCCCTCTCTGTCTTTCAAATTGTCCGCCTCCCTTTTGAGCTCCTCGTTCATCTGCTCCTTTTTCTGGTGGTACCTGGCCTGGCAGCACGACTCCAGGTAGATCTCGTCGATGCCCCAGTAGTCGAGCTCTTGGCTGAACGACAGGGCGCACATCTCCTCCATCATGTGCAGCTTACCCGTGCGGTAAAAGTTCAGAATGGACGTGAACGCGCCCGGGTGCCGGTCAAAAAAGTACTCGTTCTCCTCGAGATTGTAGTCGTCGCACACTTCCATCAGAGATTCGTGGGAGTTGCAGTCCCTTAACTTCCCCAAACGTGTTCGTGGTAGCCTGTCTAACGTTCGCCACAGGACCTCGTGCGGGAGACCCCCGACGTTCAGCCTGACTCGGCGGAAACATGACTTGCTGCGAATGATGTCCACGGGTTCGGGTGGCAGTGACGATGTTGACCGGGAGCCAGCTTTGTTTAACTCTGTCAGGGACTTCTCCATGATGACTTTAACTTGAGGAAGCATGCAAACAGCCAGGGCTACGGATTACAGGTGGTCTTCTCTTCATTCATTATGGTTTCTAAAGGAATGATAACACAAAAAGAAACCATTAGTGTTACAGGATTGATCCCAAATCTCAAACAGCTTGATGCTTGGAGCTCCCAACCTGGAAAATCTGACTGTACAGAAGTGGATTTAAGCGAGAAAATAGAATATATCTGTCACTAGACTTGATTTCTGTATGCTTTTATCACTTCAGGCCTTAATATTCTTCAAATGAAATAATCCAAAAAGACTAAATTATTTGCTGGTGGAACTGCTCAAGCAAAAAAAACATTACTTTCAATCAATATTTTTCCTGATTTGTTCGGATATTTCACATCGATATCTGGTATTCTTCTTATTTATAGCATTGTACTGTTAGACTTTTAAAAAAAAAATCCTTCCTGAATCAACAATAAGCCTACCCTCGGTGAACAGATGGGGGTTATTGGGATGACTCACACATATGAACAAGGCACGAAACGGATGCCTGGCTTATTATTGTATTGCCATCATCAAAACCAGTCACCGAGAGACACTTCATTAAATATAATTTCCCTCCCAAAGAACTACTTTAAAACCTGCTCGGGTTGAAATCCAGGATCAAACTGTCGGATCCCGACGACAAAAACTGAAAAATCACAGGTTTGACGGGCTTCAGAGCAGCAAAAGTTGTCATCCGTGGATTTTTTACTCATCATCGAATCTTCTAAAATTATTTCCTGAGGCACTGATAAACATACACTGAGATGGGGCTTCTTGGGATGACTCACGCCTGGAGCTGGTCGGCAGACTCATGCATTTCTATTCAGGGGGAAAATATTTGGGAAAGATGACAAATAGTTGCAGTTACTCATCTTGTTGAATGTAAAACTTTAAGTCACCTTTTTATTTATTTTTTTTAAACAGCACATTTAAAACAAAAACCATTCAGCCAAAGTGCTTTCTAGTCATAAAAAAAGATTAGAATTGGGATTACAAATTAACAATTTAACACATTAGGGATTAAATCTACTTCATTTCTGGAGACATCTCCTCTTTGCTGGCTGATGCATGGATGGTAAAATATCACTCTTGATGCAAAAGCACAATTTCTCTGCCCACAATCTGGAGGGAGAACATAAAAGTCGTAATCTCCTGCTCGAATCTGTTTGTTTGCATCTAGCAGTTTGTCTTGGCCAGCATTTTTTGGCTGCTCTGTGCTCATACGACGCCCATGCAGTGCTGTGGGTGGGACGCAGGACACCAGTGATGAGTGTGGAACAAAGTGAGCGCTGTCCAGCTCAATGGTGCTGAAACACCAGGAAGCGCTGCTCGCTCCCCTGAATCACGGCGAGCTCCCCTGGGAATCGCAGGCAGGCTGGCATGGACAAATAAAAAAAAAAAATAGCCTCGATCACACCTTCGTTTTATGAAGCTGCACATCCACTGTTTATTTATGTCTGTGTGTGCGCGACGAGAGCGTGGAAAAGCTCCCCCCCAACAAACAGCACAGCAAGGCCCGCAGATGTGATCATTGATCACTGTCACACAAAGTTTCTAACACTTCACGAACACAATTAGGCCCGAGGACTGTGTCAACACGCATCACAATGCGCATGCAGAACAGAGATCAGCACAGTAATGTGTGGACATGCTGTAGTCTAACAGGAGCCTCCACCCTCATGTTTCATCCAATCCAAGGCTCCTGATGAAGCTGCTCAGCATCAAACAAACCACAACACAAACATCCATTCCCTCCTGTGTGCTGTTCTGCGTAGGAAAGGCGGAGATGTTTACTAATCATCTAAAAGTGCAGAGTGCTGAATGCAAATCCTCCCTCGTTAAGCATTTCTCATCTTGTTTTTTTTCTCTCTCTCCAAATGCTGTCTGCTCCATATTGGTGCAGCTTGAACGCAGAGTGTTCCCACACAGCACAGAGGAGCTGTTACAATTGATAGGTATGCATATGATTCAAAGTCCAGAGATGGAGATGAGCTTTAAATGGAAATACCGTAGTGAGTTGTTGTTGTCATCCTGCACAGAATCAAATCAGCACGTACCGCTGTGATCAATCCGCCGCCACAAACGCAGATGAAGCATTAAAAAAAAAAAAAGAAAGAAAAGAAAAGAAAAGAAAAGGAGGCGTCGTTATTGGTTTATTATTGCCAGGGTCTAACCCAATCCATTTCCCCCTCCTCTGCCTCCGACATGGCAGAGAGATCTTCAGCACGATCTACTGCCTTATCCGCCGCTTTCGCTGCTCCGCATATTCGCCCGAAGATCAACAAGTACGCCGACAGCCGGTTCGGACAGACTACCTGTGTTCCCCAGTCATCTGCGTGAGGAGGCGCCGCATCTCTGGGAAGGTGGATCCATGGCAGCTCAGCTCGGCTCAGCGCTCCCTTCCACATCTGTTTAACTCCTTCAGCTCCGCGTCCTGACGCATGGCTGTATCACTGACAGCACTCCGCTGCGTGTAGGTCGAGGTGTAATGTTGGCTAAAAGCGTAACTACGCATGAAATGATGGCTCGAAGAAAACAGAGGCGTGATCTGGGATGATCTGAAATCAACAACATTATCGAAAAAATCTGTACATGTTCATAGAAGATGATTTAAACATCTTTCTAATATGAAACTTGGGTCATTATCTCCAGTTTCACGGTGGTGGGTGGGTTTAGGCACCACATCATCTTGTCATTAGCAGTGGCTTTCCGGATCTCTTATAACATTACCATTGCATTAATGTGGAAATGCTGATTTCAAAGTCAAACCCTAAGTAGTGAAATGTCTACTGTAAGTATCAAAAGGCAAAAGTGGTGGAGAAATCTGGGGGAGAAATGTGAGTGATGTGAACAAAAGGTTACATACACTGTAAAGACCATGTACATCATAGCAATCTCTCCAATTAATCCTATAATTTTCCATGCCGGAATCACTGAAACACCTTTGTCACAAAAAACAACCATTCATTTTGGTTCTTTCATTGATTTAACTTGGCTCTTCTGGAAATCTGACATAATTCTAACTCAGCAACTTAAATGATCAGTCTTGGTGATGTAGGAAGCTCTGCTCATCACATTGTCTTGGTGGCATGGCCTCCTAACTTCTGAGTGGTTATGATTGACTACAATTCCTCTAAACAGGGTCCTTTTGACACACTCATCAGCCACAAACACTAGTGGGAAAGTCTGAGGAGCTCATCAAAGATCTAAAAAAGAGAGATAATATAAAGTGCATGGTACAGCTGTGTCCCAAAAATTGAGCCATTTGGACACAATGGCTATAAATATGTTTGGAGGAGAGAAGGTGAGGCCTTCAACCCCAAGAACACCAAATCTACCATCAAGCATGGAGGTGGCAGCATCATGCTCTGGGGATGTTGTGTTGACAGCATAGCTGGTGATTTACACAAACTAAATGGGATAAATAAGAAGAAGGAGGATTACCTCAGCATTCTCCAGGAAAACCTAAAACCATCAGCCAGAAGGTTGATCTTGGAGGTAGTTGGTTGTTCCAAGGGGCTGCAAGGTGGCGCAGTTGGTAGCACTGTTGCCTCGCAGCAAGAAGGTT